TCCTTCTTTTCATTAAACTAGACATCCCCAGTTCCTGCAACCGTTCTTCATATGTTTTAGCCTCCAGTCCCCTAAACCTCTTTGTTGCTCTTCTCTGCACTCTTTCTAGAGTCTCCACATCTTTTTTACATCGTGGCGACCAAAACTGAATGCAGGATTCCATTTGTGGCCTTACCAAGGCTTTATAAAGTTAGTTAATAATTGAAAGGTTTTACAAGGCAGGGCGATGGTGTAACAACAGCATTGGAAGGGGAAGGACTGGGGGTCTTTAACGTTTTCAAGGAGTTGCCGCCTAGATTCTGTTGGAGACATAAAACACCCCTTCGGAACAAGGCCCAAATTGTCCTACTGCTGTATTGTCGAACCTGTGGCATGCAGAGCCCTCTCTGCGGGCACACGAGCCGTCGCCCCAGCTGAGCTCTACCGCACATGTGCATGCGCCTCCCGCCAATCAGCTGGTTTTCCGGTCTCTGCTGTGCATGCACCGGGGGATGGGTGCATGTGTGGGGGCAAGGCGCATGCAGGGGGATCATGCACGCATCTGGGGAGACGGGGAGTGCAGTGGGGTACACATGCATGCACAGGAGGGTGAGGCACACACGGGGAGGGGTCTGCCGGTTCACCCCAGATCGGGCAAACCGGTAGTGGTGGCAGCAGGAGGTTCAGCCCACCCGCCTGGATGCTTCTCCGCATGCGCTAAAGCATCGCGCATACATGCACAAGCAAACTGGTAGTAAAATAAACAAAAACCCACTACTGGGTCACACATCATGGGTGCGCACACGTGGTTTCGGCACACAGCCATCAGTGGTATATAAGGTCTCCTGCTTGAGCAGGGGGTTGGACTAGAAGACCTCCAAGGTCTCTTCTGTTAATCTGTTATTCAGCCTGAAAAGCAGCTGTTTCAGTATCTGATGTTTCCAAGATCTTGTATAAAAACATCTTCTGAATCAGGGAAACAGAGAGATACCCGGGGAAATTCTTTACCTGCCCGCAGTCCACTTTGGCACACTTTGCCTTCCGACAAGCCACCCGTCCTCCGTCACAGCTACAGAAGTTACAGTCCGTATCGTGCCACATGTCACTGTGGTATTTGAGGGTGCCGTTGTGCACACAGCTGCCCTTGGAAAGGACACACTCTTCACAACATCTGCCAGGGCGACGCACTTTGCTCTCCCCCTGAGAAGATACAAGCGGAAAATTGAGGTCACGATAAAGGTTGCCCCTCGCACATATGCGCTAGTCGTTCCCGACTCTAGGGGGCGGTGCTCATCTCCCTTTCAAAGCCGAAGAGCCAGTGCTGTCCAAAGACTTCTCCATAGTCATGTGGCCGGCATGACTAAATGCCGAAAGAACACAGAACGCTGTTACCTTCCCACCAAAGGTGGTTCCTATTTTTCTACTTGCATTTTTTACATGCTTTCGAACTGCTAGGTTGGCAGAAGCTGGGACAAGTAACAGGAGCTCACTCTGTTACACGGCGTTAGGGATTCGAACTGCTGAACTTTCTGATCGACAAGCTCAGCGTCTTAGCCACTGAGCCACTGCTAAATTCCCCCCCAAAATCCCCACGTTTTAAGCTTATGCATTACCTGCCGACAATCCAGTGGAAGGCAGCTCTTTGTCATGCACCTGGATTCTCCTGT